GATCCGATCCGTTGTTACGGCCCGACCTTTCACGGCACTCTACCTTTAGTAGCAGCAACCTCTCGCCTGCGCACGCGATGTACACGAAGTACAGGGTTTGAACCTTGCGGCCCAGCACGAGAAAACCAATCTCGAAGGTACTCACGCGCAAAACAATTTCCACCAAGAAAAACTGTAACACATAGGTTTTCTAAGATCCCTTCAAAACTTTGTCTACCCTGCACACACATGGTGTCGATTTCATAAAAAAATAGGCGGCTGCTAGGCATCAGCCGCTAGCAGCCGGCTGATCTTTTTCGTAAGATCAGCCGCCTAGCCAATCGTTGATTAGCATCGATTTGGTCCGCTTGATTCCTTGACCACGCCACCGCTTTCATCCCAATACGCCATGTATGATATATCTCCCGCAGCTACTCCAGTCATCCATCAGGCATGTACACGAGTGCAACACGTAATCCACACTTCCGACGCGATGAACCACATTTGGACGACATGCAGCACCAGCTTCAGCCTGCACCATGAACCGTCGCTAGTCATCGCACAGAAAAACACTCACGAGCTCGCCACGCACCGACCACGGCTGCAACACCGGGTTGCGGCAACGAAGCTACTGCGAGCCTGCAACCATCCATTGAAGCATCAGCGATGCTCTATTATAGCACCGACGATGCGACGACGGCCCAACAATGCTCCATAACAACACTGGTGACGATCCGTTGCAGCGTCCATGAGGTTTCGGCGGCCGGCGATGCTTTGTTGTAGCAACCGCGAGGTTCTGGCGTCTGACGAAGCTCCGTTGCAGCATCCGTGAGGTTCCATCAGCCGGCGATGCTCCGTTGCAGCACCCATGAGGTTTCGTCGGCGGTGATGCTCCGTTGCAACACCCGTGAGATTCTGACATCCGACGGCTCCGTTGCAACATCCATGAGATTCCGTCGGGATGCGATGCTCCATTGTAGCACCCGTGAGGATTCGGTGTCAGACGATGCTCCGTTGCACCATCTGTGCGGTTCCATCG